GTAACAAAGGACAGGACCGCCGGCCAGGAAGGGAAAGGAAGGGGTGAGCCTTACCATCGCCCCAGGCTACTTCCGGCAGCGCTTCCAGGCTGAGGTGCTGCAGGAAGCCAGGAGGAGCCTGCCGAGGTCAACCTGAACACCTGCGATGGAGCCGCCAGGCCGCGGGTCAGTGGGGCAAGAACTCACAGGACAGAAAGGCAGCGCAGGGAAAGCTGCACCGAGCGAGAACGCCAGATGCTCCCAGAGCCCGGCCCTGCGCCGCGCGCTGAGCAGCCCATGCCTGACCAGCACACACCCACCTGAGAGGACCTGCGGAACCACCCCGGAGCCCTCGGAGCCCTCGTGCGGCGGGGAGCAGGCCTGTTCCCATCAACCACCGCAAAAGCCATCAGAGAAGAGAGCTCTGAGGGCTTTTGCCTCAGGGGTGGGAAACAATTAGCCCCAGACCAAATGTGGGGCTCCAGCCCCACGGACGGGGTTAAAAGCTGAGACTCATCCCGGAAAGCAAAATATCCCGCACCTGACAAGGTAAGAGTCGCAACATCAGGCGTTCAAACAAAAATCAGCAGACATGCAAAAACAGCTACGTGACTATTTTTAAAATCAATTCTCCTTAAAGCTCAAAATAAAACTTTGACTTTTTATCATTTTCACTGTGTGTGTTAATCTCAAAATCCCACATCCACATAATCAACTTGCTCTCCCCGTGTGAAGGAGCACCCCTCCCACGGCCAACAGCACAGCCCGACAAGCAGACGCCAGAGTCAGGAGGACCAGGCTCTGATGCTTCCTCACGAGGAGAGAGCTCTGGGAAAGCTCCGAGTTTCGGTCCTCTCATCTATAAAATGGGTATAAGGACGCTTGCTTCCTCAGGCTGCTGTGAGACACACACCAACGCAAATGCTTGATCAAGCAGCCATCCTTTCATGACTGCCACATTCCCGTAAGAGAGCTACCACGCCACACACTCGAACATTTACTAAGCACCTGTCCAATGGCAGGCCCCATCTGGGCACCGGGAATACCAAAGAGGACCCAGAGTATCAGCTTGTGGCAGTCCACATGTCAAAGTTCACTTCAAGTACAAACTTCACATTCTATTTCTTAATTTTTAAGTAGGGCAATTATTTTCAGATCCTCCAATAAAAATTAAAGGATGATTTTTTCCCCCTTCCAACCAACTGAACCAATGTGAGGTTCAACCAATTAGGCAATGTCTCAGAAATGCTTTGAATTTGAAAAACATGGAAAAATTTAAATTTAAAAGCAACCTGCAATTAACATCATCTTTCAAAATTATTCTCAAATTAGTAGACTAAAATTAATTCAGACATAAAATACATAAAATGGACCAATCTGTTATTATGATAATCTTTTCAGAAAGACTGGGCCAACAGATGCAAGGAGCTAAAATCAAGTTCAAGTTTGTATTTCATTTGCTCGTTCCACTTAAATGACAGATGGCTTAAATATTAACCCTATTAATAAAATGTTTGCATATTCATTATGAATCTGATTGCCTTTCCTCATAAATCCAAAAATTCACTTTATAAATTTTACTACATGGCTGCCCATTTATTTCAAGGCCTCCTAGAGGCTTCCCTGTCAAGTGGGGTCCCTGACCCTGGAGTACCAGGGTCACCTGGGAGCCTGTGAGAATCTCATCCCTCTGCCAGCCCTGTCCTGGCAGAGCCGGTATCTGCTTCTTTAACAAACCCCTAGATGACTGCCATGCCCATTACCATCTGCACAGCCAACTCTAAACCCTGGCTTCTCTCCCCACTACACACACACACACACACACACATTTTTTTTTTATTGTGCTACAAAAAAGCTTATTTGCTTCCAACATGTGGTTATTTTCTCTCCCTATTGACTTTCAATTCTTTTTAAGGATTTATTTATTTATTTGAAAGTCAGAGTTATAGACAGAAAGAAAGAGATCTTCCTTCTGCGGGTTCACTCCCCAGATGGTCGCAACAGCCAGGGCTGGGCCAGGCTGGAGTCAGGAGCCACGAGCTTCCTCTAGGTCTCCCACGTGGGTAGCAGGGGCCCAAGCACGCTGGCCAGCTTCTGATGCTCTTCTTAGGCCATTAGCAGGGAGCTGGATCGGAAGTGGAGCAGCCAGGTCTCAAACTGGCACCCATGTGGAATCCTGGCTTTGCAGGCCGCGGCTTTACTCAATACACCACAAGCCAGCCCTCCACAGCGACTTCTCATAAGAATCCAGGGCTGGCGTTGTGGCGCGGCACGTTGAGCTGCCTCCTGCAATGCCAGCCTGCCTAATGGACGCTGCTATCCACTTCTGACCCAGCTCTCCGCTGATGCAAGAGAGGGCAGCTGAAGATGGCCTGAGTGCTTGGGCCCCTGCCACCCACATGGTGCACCCAGATGGAGCTCCAGGCTCCTGGCTGTGGCCTGGCTCAGCTCTGGCGGGTGCAGCCATTTGGGATGTGAACCAGCAGATGGAAGATCCCGCCCTCTCCCTTTCTCCCTCTCGCTCTGTAACTCTGCCTTTCTACTAAGTAAATAAACCTTTAAAAAATAAAAAGAATCCAATTCAGAGGAGTCTAATCAGTCCACACACAGTTAGATATTCTACAAGCAATGATCTCTGTGTCTCAGACTTGACCCTGCCTCTCAACCAGGAGGACACCAACTCCTAGGATTGACATTTTTTCCTAGCATGTGGCCACTGCGATGCAAGTCTTCTCTGCAATTAAATAACTATGTCCAACAGTACCAGGAAAAGATTCTTCCTACAACTTAAGAAAATATGAAAAATCTCAAAATAGGTTCAACCAATGTTGAATGTGAAATTCCGGTTCCCCAGAGAGAAACCAAATAGAATGACTCCATCCCCCACATATTTCCAGGCCATGCCTAATTTTTTTTTTTTTTTTTTTTTTACTGCAAGCACCAGTTTTTGAAATAAGAAATTCACATGGGACTCAGAGAGTACAGTTCTTTAGAAGGTTCATCTTCTATTATTATGATTATTGCACAATAGTCACAGTTCCCCAAAAAATAGAACAAATCCTGTTTTTCACTTTCAATTTTCAAAAAAGAAAGCTGAGGCCCAAACTGATCCCAGCAGGTAGGATTGCTCCGCAGAGATTCAAAGGAGAACACAAATACTCCGTTTTCAAAAGCGCTGCAAAAGCCAACCTCAGCTCTTATCACTGCAGCCGTGGCGTTATGCCAAACGTCTGAAAACTGCTCGGAAGTGCTGTTCCTTATAGGAATTGTGAGCAGCTTTGCAGACAGAGGGGGAAACTGTAGTAACAGTCAACACCTTAGGGTGGCTAGCACCCCTGGCCTCTGAGTTAGAGGATAAGAACCTAAGCATTCCCCAGCTGCGTCCAGGCCACTGCACCCAACCCCAGCGCCTTAGGAGAGCAGGTTTAAAGAGTGCACCTGTTGGAGCAGTCTCCAAAATCAGACATGTCTTCAACCACCCCCAGCTCTTTATCAGATCCAATTAAAGATCATCACCCTTGAATTTTAACTCTTTCTTCAGCCACTTTGCATTTTCAGCCTACAGCATCTCTCATGACATCTAGCATTACACACGAGTACAACTAGGTATTTAATGTCCTTTCCATAGTCCTAGATACACTGACTTCGGGTTTCAAGGAATGCCCCTCACTCAAAGATTCTAGAACGTGGCGAGGGATCCATTACACCCTGTCTTTCCTGGCTCAGAGCCCAGGCTCTCCGAAGAATGAACTGTGCGCTGCCAGTCTCCCTCCAGGCCAGCCCCATCACTGGAACTTCAGGTAAAGACCATCAGGGCCACGCCACTAAGTTCTACTCACCCCTTGCGGCTACTGTTCTTTCCTTCGCAGCTTTATCCATCAGGCATTCTCTCCCTCTTGAAAGAACTCTCTGGAGCCTCCCGCACGCTTGCCCCTCTACCTGACCTCCAGAGCTGGACGACCTTGGGCTGGGCCCTGGAATCTCGTCTGATCCCATGGCTCACATATCGCCTTCCTGCTGAAGACTCTGGACACCTCCAGCCCAGAGCTCCCTGTGAGTCCAGACTGGTAAACGCAGCTACCTACTCAGTACCTCCACCTGCATGCGCCCTAGACACATTGCACTCAGTGTCTCCAGAGCCGCAGCCTCTCCCACTGTTCTCCACTCCCCAGCCACTGACCCAGCTTCTGCCAGAAATCCCAGAGTCCTACACGCTCACTACTCACATCCAATCAGGAGCCGGGCCCCGTCCTTTTGGGCTCCACATATGTACCCAGTCCCCACCTTCACCTTCCTCACCTCCTGCCTGCGCCACTGGGACAGCACTCCCGGTGGTCTCTCCGAGTCCACGCCCCTGCCCTGACCTTTCGGAGGAAAACGCCCCTGCTCAGAACCCTCCCGTGGCCCCCTCATGGTGTCGGCAGATGTTGGCGTGGGGCCTGGGCACATTCTGGGTCCTCTACCTGCAGTCTTTATTCTCTTTTACTCCTCTCCTACCAACTGCTGCCCCCCCCACACATACAGACGTGTGTGCACGCAGGAACACACGCGTGTGCGCAATCCAAAACACCAGGGCCGACATCCAACAGTGAAGCCAGACCAAAGGCAACTGCTAGAACATCCCAGCAGGACAAAAGAATTAGAGCAGCAAGCCCTTATTTAGCTCAGACTTAACCAAGATGGCAGACAGCCAAGGCAAAGCCAGGCTGCAACGTGGTCACGTGCGAGCGCTCGAGCTGTTGGTTCTGGAAGGTTCTACAACCGCAGAGACTGCCGGGTAATCCCGTGTCTGCCTCAGTGGACAGACATCCCTGAGGGAAGGCTCACTTTTACACACTAGCAGCTTCGGCAGGCTCCAACGCAGAGCTGTCGGCTGTCTACGTCTACACCCACACCCACGCTAGCTGCCGGCCCGGGCCTGGCCGCGAGGTCCGCGAGGTCCCTCGCCGGTCCCGGATGCGCGGGCACGCGCCCGCTGCGGTGCGCGCGCGCCTCCCCGCCCTCCGGCCCTCAGGCCTCACCTTCCACGTGTGGGAGGAAGCAGCCCTGGCCCCCTGGCCGGGCGCAGGCGGCTCCCCGTCGCCCGTCGGCACGAAGCGGCCATAGCGTTGCAGAGGCCACTGCCTAGTGTCGCCTCCCGGCAGCCCAAGGTCCGCACACGCGTTTCCCGCCTCCGCCATGCCTGGCGTCCTCCACGTGCGGCCCGCGGGGACCCGCCCATCTGCGCCGCTGGCCAATCAGGGGCTGAGGTGAGCAAGGCCCACCCCCCCTCCCATGCCACGCCGGCCAATGAGCGGGCCTGAGGGCTCATGACGTCACCGCCGGCCTTAGCGCAGAGCGGAGAGGCGTCCCCGGCCGGCTGAGGTGGGGTCTCGGATTCCGGCCCGCACCGGCTTTGGCTCCAGGGAGCTCGGTCCCTTTAACTAGCGCGCGCTAGAACAGGCCGGCTCTCCTCAGGGTGGCCTTTGGGATAACAACGGTGTCCCTACCGCACCTCACACCCCCAGGGCAGCCCCGTGCCACCTGCTGTGCAGGAAACATGGCTACTTCCGGGTCGTCCCACAACCCCTGGACAGACTTCTTCCAGCCGGTCCATTTGTTCCCTGAAGAGAGGAGCAGAGGGATAGGGGGCTGCCGGCCACAAACGGCGCAAGATGGACCGGCAGATGCAAACAGGTGACGCCACAGGGTGACAGTCTACCTGCCACTCTCCCCGACGGCCTCGAGGTGTCCTGAGGAGGCACGGCCCGGTCACTGTCCCCTGGACCAGAGGGAGCCGAGACAAGGCCCAGCGAGCACAGGGATTGCTCCGAAACCACACAGCCACAGAACAGCAGAGCCCCAGGAGAATCGTGGGCGCCACCATCTCTCCTTGTGTCTGCCGCACGTGCAAAAAAAAAAAAAAAATCAGAAGCAGGCTGCACAGGGCTGGAGGCCCTGGTCAGCAAACATAAACAAAGATGCAAACAAGGTTTCAGACTGTGCACACGGATGGGTATTAAATGCATCCTCAATGGTTGGAGAGCTGGTCATTTATTCGCTCTACAAAACTTCAAGTGAAAATCGGCAATGTGCAGACACCATGGGGGTACAGAAATGAGTAAGACAGGCGTCTCACTTGCCGAGGTCTCGGATCCAATCAGAACAGGGCAGCTACACCTCTGAAACCGAAGTGAGTGACTGCCACAGCAAAGGCACACACCGCTGCTCTGAGAGGCCACGTGACGCACACATGTGCCAAGAGGACTTGAAGGAAGAGCGCGCCCCTCCCCCCCCAAAGGTGTGGAGGAGCTGCAGACAGGAGGATCCTGGGGGCAGGCCAGTGTTGTTTGTTTAATTTGAAAGACAGAAAGACACAAAGCTCTTCCCTCCACGGATGCACTCCTCAAATGCCAGCAACAGTGGGGCTGGGCCAGGCTGAAGCCAGGAGCCCTGAACTCCATCCATGGCTCCCACATGGGTAGTAGGGACCACCGCCTCCCAGGGTGCACATAGCAGGAAGCTGGAATTGGGAGTGGAGCTGGGACTTGAACCCGGGCACTCCGATGTGGGGTGCATGTGTCCCAAGCAGCATCTTAACACTCGCCCCTCCAGGCTGTTGTTTAAAAGATGAGTACATACAGAGTATAAAAATTTTGTGGATGTCATCTCATTTGACATATAGTAATATCGCTTCACTGAGTCATAGCATGCGTGTGACGATACACGTTTCTATTCCCTCGTGGTGACTGTCATGAATCCTTCACACTGTGATATTAATATCTGTTTTCAAGGAAAAAATATCTGTATGTACATAAGGTCTACATACGAAGGTAGCGTGGCAAAAAAAATGTTAAAAATAGTTAAATTTTAAAACTAAAGAAATACCACACAGATGGGGCTGCAAAGATGAGTTGTAGCAAAAGAGCCCTGAGCAGCAGCTAGGAGAGGGACTGTACTGGGTAGGCGGTGGGGGGTGGGGGAGGTCAGAGTGGGGTCCGGGGCATATGGGGTAAGGTGGATTCAAGCAACGCTGACTTGTTACCGGTCTTTCCAGTCGTCCAGCAAAGCTGACAAAGGGGTGAGAGCTGAGGCTGACGGTCCTTGAATGACACAGCACAGCTGCATTTAACGTAGCAGTAAACGGTTAAAAACCTTGGCGTCGCAAGTCTGCCACTTGCCAGCCAGCCGTGTGACCTTGCAGGAGTCACGGAACCTCTTTGTAAAACAGGATTATTAAACGGCTTAGCTCCCAGGGTGGTGGAGAAGACGGACCAAGGGCACGTGCGGGCAGACGCTGCGCACAGGCCAGTGGTCGCATGTTGCCAGGGTGTGTGCCCAGGGTTAACGTGACTTTGCGTGGACTCCCTGCAGGCAGGGAGGGGGGAGCGGGAGCCTGACATTGGGGCCCAGAAGCGTCACCTCCCAGGTCTAGGGTGCAGCTGCTGTCAGACGCCTCCTTGGGAGCAGATGGTGCGCACAGTTGGGCCGTTGTCGGTGCCCAAGGACACCCGGAGCCCTGCTGGGTTCCCACCTGCAAGCTCCCTTCCCAGACGATGCACCTGTGCCCGAGCTTCAGGGACCAGCAGCGTCTGCCAAAACCAGCCCTGCCTGCTGCGGGAGCCGTGCTGGAGCTGCGGCCTCTTTCAAACCTAAAGTGTCAATGGCTGCGTCTTGAGCCTCCAAGGGCCAGGCACCGCAGGGCAGGAGGGGCTAGGGTGCGGCGTCTGCCCTTCTGTGGTGGGCATACGTGGGGAAACCTACTTAGCACTTGTGAAAAGGATTTATTTCTTTGAAAGGCAGAGAGGCAAATACAGAGATCTCCCATCTGCTGGTTCATGCAGCAGATACCCTCACCAGGAGCCTAGAATTGAACTCGGGTCTTCCGTGTGGGTGGCTGGGAGCCTCCCAGGGTGCACATTAGCAGGAAGCTGGAATGGAGAGCGCAGCTGGGACTTGAACCCAGGCCCTCTGACATGGGATGCGGGTGTCTCAAGCAGCTTCCTAACCACTGGACCCAGCGCCCACTCCTACTCCAGATTTTTAAAGACCAGTGCGTTTTCTTCCTGAAAGTGAAAGCTGTAGTGTTTATGCAGGTCTCATTCACTGTCCCATGAGGCAAGTCCTCAGGTCGCCATCAGCTCAAACGTGACGTGGAACATTCCCAAACCCCTACTGCCCCGATGGCACCTCCTTCCAGTTATTCCTCACCCCACAGAAGCAACCCTGGGCTGACTGTTGTCACCACAGCTTGGCTTTCCTGTTCAGGGATTCAAACAGGTGAGACCACCCACGACGCACTCTGTTGCGTTTGCTTCCTGTGCCCAGGCTAATCCTGGTTTTCCATGCTCCCCACACTGTGTATGTCAAGCGTAGCGCTGAATAGTGTTCTTTTGCCTGACCACGGCATTCTTTGCTTGCTCTTTACCTCTTGGTGGACGTTTGGTTTGTTTTCTGTTTTTTTTTTTTTTTTTAATGATTTACTTATTTATTTGAAAAGCAGAGTGACAGAGATAGAGGGAGAGATACAGGGAGAGGGAGAGGGAGAGAGAGAGAAAGAGATCTTCCATCTGCTGGTTCACTCCCCAAATGGCTGCAACAGCCAGGACTGAACCAGACTGAAACCAGGGGCTAAACACTCATCTGGGCCTCCCATGTGTGTAGCAGGGGCCCAAACACTTGGGCCATCATCCACTGCCTTCCCAAGTGCATTAGCAGGGAGCTGGATTGGAAGTGGACCAGGCAGGACTTGAACCAGCACTCCACGATGGGATGCTGGTGCCACAAAGGGCCACTTAAGAACTGCACCATAACGCTGGCCACTTTTTTTAAAAAGTTGTTCTGAATATTCTTCTACAAGTCTTCATGTCAATGTTATCATTTATCTCCCACAAATACTGAAGAGTAGAACTGCTTCAGTAGCAGAATTGCTCAGATCTCAAGAGATACGAGGGAACTTTGAAGAGTTCATTGAAAATGGAATTAAAAGCTAAGTTTATTTTTATGCCAAACAATGTTTAAATCCATGCATATGAGGGATCTTCAGAAAGTGCATGAAAAATGGATAGTCAGAAAAAACTGGAGGGGGCCAGCATCGTGGCAGGTTAAGATGCTGCCTGCAATGCTGGCATCCCATATGGGTGCAGGTTCGAGTCCCGGCTGCTCCACTTCCAGGCCAGCTCCCTGCTAATGCACTTGGGAAAAGCAGCAGAAGTTAGCCTGAGTGCTCGGACCCCTGCACCCACATGGGAGGCCAAGATGAAGCTCCTGGCTCCTGGCTTCAGCCTGGCCCAGCCCTGGCCATTGTGGCCATTTGGGGAGTGAACCAGAAGATGAAAGATCTCTCCCTCTCTCTGTCACTCTGCCTTTAAGCAGGTGAGAATAAATAAATAAACATTTAATAAATGATAACCCACATCAGAGCACCTGGGGTTGATTCTCCACTGTTGCTCCTGACTCCAACTCCCTGCTAACGCGCACCCTGGGAGGCAGTGGTGATGGTTCAAGTAGTGAGGTCCCTGTCACCCATGTGAGAGACCTGGATTGAGTTCCTGGCTCCCCGTGTTGGTCCCGGCTGAGGGCTGTTGCGGGTGTCTGGGGACTGAAACAGCAGAGGGGAGCTCTGTCTCCCAAATTAAAAATTGAAACAATTAAAAAATATATATATACAGTGAATCCACCCCTACAAACCCGCTGGAGCAGCTGAAATCAAATTGTTGACAGTGGAGGTTGGCGGGCGCCGCGGCTCACTAGGCTAATCCTCCGCCTAGCGGCGCCGGCACACCGGGTTCTAGTCCCGGTCGGGGCGCCGGATTCTGTCCCGGTTGCCCCTCTTCCAGGCCAGCCCTCTGCTGTGGCCAGGGAGTGCAGTGGAGGATGGCCCAGGTGCTTGGGCCCTGCACCCCATGGGAGACCAGGAAAAGCACCTGGATCCTGGCTCCTGCCATCGGATCAGCGCGGTGCGCCGGCCGCAGCGCGCCGGCCGCGGCGGCCATTGGAGGGTGAACCAACGGCAAAGGAAGACCTTTCTCTCTGTCTCTCTCTCTCACTGTCCACTCTGCCTGTCAAAAAAAAAAAAAAAAAAAAAGACAGTGGAGGTGTCGGCACGGAAGCAAACTCTCACAGTTTGCTTCTGGGGGTTGTGCAAAGACTGTGACTCTGGCAGTGTCTGCTAAAGTCAGATGTACACCATGGGTGGCAGGGCCAAGCACCTGCACCACCATCCACCGCCTCCCAGGATG